CACAGTAACAGCTCAGTGAAAACTACAAATTATTTGAAGAATGTTCGAATTCGACTATGTCTGACCAAGCCCCTGACTACTCTAGGACAAATTGGGCTCAATACACTGTTATCAAGTCTTTCAAATGATTTGATTCAGGGTTGTCTTACTTCGCTTACGACGGCGATGGGTTCTTAGTTGATCACCTTCACATGATCTCACAGAGACTTAGGGAATATCAACGTAGTGGAAGCAGGTGGAAGATTTGAGCTTCTTTCCTACTATATTTAGGTAAATTGGTCTAGATAGCTGACTTTCGTTCTAGTCATGAAGAGGGTGTTGTCTACCTGTATAAGTCCCCTGTAAAGCGTGGGATATATGAAATTCCTCTATTAAATAACTCTCTCTCTCTTAATATAAAAAGCAAAAAATTTACTCCTTTTCATGCAATATATAAGGTGTTGCCCGATTTTCATGGGAAAAAATCTTCATGAGGATTTTATTTATTTTCTTTGATTTCCAGAGTAACATCTGTCCACTTATTGCTCTTTTAAGGAAAATCAGCGCTTTTTTATGACAGCGTGCTGACAATAACTTATTAATCTGCTAATGGTCTTCATTTCACTTTTCTTTAAGGTATACTAGAAACCAAATCTAACTCAAGCTCATCGAAGCTATGAAGTGTAACCTAACAAATAAATCCAAAATGTAAATAAATAACAACAACAGGTCTAAGAAGCAAGAAGAACAGATGAGTGAAGAGACTAAACTAGCAAAATTAAATGAAAAAATGAAAAGATAAGAAAAAAATAAAAAAATGGCATGTAACAAAAAAGAACGAAAGAATAGAATCTCGAGCTGTATGAAGGAAACAAAAAAGTACTACAAAAAATAACAACAACAACGCCTGCAAAACAACAAGCCGAACTTAAACCAGAGCAAGAACTGGCAGAAGAAAATCAATTCACTACAAAAGATAACAAACCTAAAACAACAATAAATATATTTAGCAAGTTTCAGGCAAGAGACAACGATGAGCGAGAACATGCAACAGAAGAGCCAATAAAAGAACAACAATTAAAACAACTCTGAGCTTTTTGTGTAAGTAAATGTCGTCAGTTAAGAGGAAAAGTAATTGCAAGCAAAAGGAAACTTGAATGCAAAAGGCATAGAAAGAGCTATAGTAAAAAGAAGAAGAAGAACGTAAGAAGCCATTGCAAATAAAAGTGAAAAAAAACAACAATAAAAATGTAGTCAAAACTATTTATCGCAAAAATTATAAAAAAGCCACAAAAGGCATTACATGTATGCTCAGACACCAAATGAGTAGAATGAAATAGCAACAAAAACAAGAAGAAGATGAATAAAAACACAAACAGACCTTAAAACAACAACTCGAAGCAGCAAATCTAAAGAAAAACAGCAAATGGTAGCAATTGCAGGCCAACAATAATAAAACCAACAGCAACAACAACAAAGTATGCATTTGACTCTTTAACAACAACAACAACACCAACAACAAAATTAGCGATTTAAAGAACTTATGTTATGCCATAAAAGCAGCTGACCAAACAATAAACGAGTATATGGCATGGCAAATCGCTGAAAACATGTCTTCAATCACACACACACACACAAATACACATACATATGCATATTTTCTTTTACTATTACCAAGTGCATGCCAAAGTCGTTGTTGTCTGCTTTTATTTTTCTCTGCAATAATCAAAGTTCGCACAAAGTTTTCTCAGTTGATAAGTATGGTAGCTGCCTTGTGCGCTGTTATGGCATGATATGGTGATACGTCGCGTTACGAGCACTTGGCAACCTTTGTAATTTGGTTATATGTCGTAAGTATGTGTTGATTTCAATAAAACTTTTTACTTTAAAACTATTGCAAGAAAATCATGTGGGGTTTTTTTTTTGCTATTTCCACAATCTCTTTCATTAAAGACCTCATGACAAAATAAGATAAGACAGGGAGACAGTGGAGCAAGTAATCTTTGAGTATCGAACGCTGAACACAAAGGCGCAGAAAGTGCTACAAGACCTTCAATCAGCAATGGCCAAGAACGAGTATTCCAATATGTGAAAAGAATAACAATGTTCCTGACACTGCGAATCCAATTAAGAGAGCAGTAGTGCATCTTGTAGAGCCTGAAAGTGCTCACAGCGGATGCTGGTTAATATAAATTAGAGCCTAGAAGAATTGGGGGTCCTTAACCATGACAGCTGACAAAAACGCTCTTGTAGAGCTGTTGTTGCTGCCAAATTGGACCACCGTCGCACTTATCACTCCCTACTCTCCAACAGCTCTACAAATACTCTTCCGCTACGCTGCGACATGCTCATATACAAAAATTTTTAATTATAGACAAATTTCCGCTATTAAAGCGCACATAAATGAATGATTTGAGCACGATTTGTTGTAGGCGATGTGCAGATGGATGGCCAAAGCAGCCTCGCCTGCAAGAATGGGCTAGGCCAGCTGTCTTTGGAAGCACTTAACCAACACGTAGCAAAAAAGTTTACAACGCGACTGGGACGTGGAGTATGTATATATATATATATATATATGTGTATGTGTGTGTATGTGTGTGTATGTGTGTGTGTGTGTGATTGTAGTAAAGAACGACAGCAAATTGACAAAAGTTCGTCGTCGCACCCCTCAACACGAGTGCCAGCACTGCCGATGAAGTGTTACTCTGTGAGATGACGGGGCGTATGCGCAACCAATTTCAATTGCTACAAATAATAAATGCACTCTGCCAAGAGAACATAGCACATTAAAACCCACACATTCAAGTGCAATCAAATAATGATGCTGAGGAATGAGCAGCAAAAATATAAAAAAAAAAATTAAATGAAAAAAATTTAAATTGAAAGAAAAATTAAAAAAAAAATTAGAAAAATAATAAAAACAAATAAAAATTATAAAAACAAAAGTAAAATAAAAATGTAACAACAGCAATAAGCGCACAACGCGCTCTACTGCTGGCTGGCAAGTTGCCATCAGGAAATGAATCTGACAGAGTGCAAACCACAGCTGTATGGAGAGGGAACCAAAGTCTATACATTTTTAGCTGTATTTACGCTGATGAGTGTGCGTGTGTGTGTATTAAAAAGATTTTTAGAAACAATTATAATTTTTTTTGTTTTTGGGAATATTATGTCGCATGGCTAGAAATATATTGTCTGCTTTAGTTTGTCTCCAAGTTGTGTGTTTATTATTTTTTTAGTGATTTTATTTCACTAATAATAATTTCAGCTAATTTGCAGTTATTTAAACCGAATAAACGCCAAATTAAATTAAAAAAAAATGTATATAGCTATCGAAATTCATTGAAAAACTCATCAATATGCCAGAAATTTATTTTCAATTTATATGCCACGAAACTTCTAACCACTTCATAGTTGCTAATCTCCACGCCGCTGCTTCGAAAAACACATTAAATTTAGAGCAGAGCCAATACGAAAAAAATAAATAAATAACAAATCCGAAAAAAGTTCATAAACACTCTCACGGGAAATCGACATTTCATGCGCCATAAATAAAAATATATTGCATTGAGTGTCTGCGGCCAATCGTCGGACTGGCCATTCTTTAGTGCCATTAAAGTCATGGCTAATATTTATTTTGTGCTCAGTAAACAGGTTTCCGCAGCGCTGAGTTTTGAAATTATACTCGTAGTGGAATGTGTTGCAAAAATGAATTTATTGGTAGTTTGGAGTTTGAATTTTCTCCTATTCAAAGATTTAAAGTTTGAAGAAGGTGCCCAGCACACAGTAAAGGAAATTGAAAATAAAACCATTGAACGAGGGAGAAGTAGGAAAAAAATGTATAGAAATCTCGTACAAAATCGTTTAGAAAAACTGTAGGAAGAGTAGAGAAATCTCTGATTGGCCGATATAAATGGGATACTGAAGAATACCTGTATATTCGTGAAGAAGTCAGCATATAATATGGGCAAACTAGAGCTCCTCTAAGCAAGCTTAACAATAATTACTAAAGAAATAATGACTTTCTGATAAATCAGATTACTTTACTAGACTTGCAATAGCAGATATTGTCAACCCCTCCGAAAGTAGTTCTGACATATAATAAAGTGGCACCTCGTAGAAAGACATTAGCAGTTTAGATTTGGCTTAGAATAGGCTGTAGGTCCCTACTTCATTACTTAAAGAAAACAAAGCCCCTAAACGAAACAGACCGGTAACCGGTCTTGCCTTAAAGCCTATCACATGATCTCTTAACCTATCATTATTTACGTTTGGGTGAGATTTACCCTCATAATCCGACGAATATCGATGAACGTTCTCATGGAAGCCCAGTGAATAGTTAACTTCTTTCCCAAAAAAAAAAAACTGATAGATCAAGGCAGAATTATATAGAGCTTGAGACTACCCAAAACTAGTTGATTAATGTAACTATAGATTCTGGAAGGAGAATATCATTAGATGCAGATCAGATTGGATTTTGTAGAGATGACGGAACCTACTTAAATGAGCTTTCTTTAAGCAGCTTAGGTTTAAGGCAATCAAGCTAAGATGTCAGGGCACAGAATTTGGACGGAATTTTTTTTAAAAGAAGGAGGTGTTTGGTATGGTATGGTATGGTATGGTAGACATTCCTCGTCGAAAGATAACTCAAGATGAAAGATGATATAATCTCAGCAGGATTATGTTAATGTTAACGGTAAAAAATTATGACATTTCTTAAAGGATATTATCTATTAAACAGTTACCAGAGAGACTAAGTACCATGAAATAACTTATGCAGTAGTTAATAGATGAGGAAGAATCTGAAACCCTGAACCAGCTGCATTGCGAATATACCGCCCTCGAAAACAAGCCAAGGTCCCTAGAAGAGAGTCTTGAGCAAATAACGAGAGTGGGTTTGGTAGAAATCTTTAGCGGTATCCCGATGCACCCGATTGGTGACCTATGTGTGTTGATGCCCAGCATCCACTTCAACTATAATTATATGCAACAAATAACCTGAACTTCCGTTACGCACTCACCTGTCAGAAGACTCAGATGAATCGCAACGATCCGTGCAACGTTTCTTCTTCCGCTTCTTCTTAGCTTGATTGGCGGCTGCCAAAAGCTTGCTAGCTGCAGTAGCCGTGGCGCTATTACCGCCACACAAAGCGCTCGTCAGTGCTGAATAAACGACAGCTTTAAGATCGCTGGCACTCTGCGGCTGATGATGACGCGCGTAAACCGAATTCAATTTTTCCGTATCGAGTAAAGCGCGTAAATTGTCCATATATTGTTTTTGTTGTTGATCACTAAGTATACCCGCGAAGTGTGCAGAACTATTTGTTGCGGCAGCCACGGCTGCAGTTTGCTTTTGACGCTTACTCTGCGCAAAGTAATGTGCCGTCGAGGCAGGTGTGGGGAAATTATTTGAGGGGTTGACGGTTGATGGCTCAACACTTTCAGCTGATGTGACGGTGGCAGTAGCAAAACGTTTAGTGCCCCGCACAACGCCGACGCTGTTGTTAATGCAGTTGGAGCTTTTCTTATCGGCAGCGGCTTTAGTTGCTGATGAGGAGGAGGGCGGTGGCAGTGTTGGCACTGGGAATTTTATTTGTGGCCTTTGTTGTTCTGGCTGCTGCTGCTGTTGCTGTTGTTGACTCACGCCAACTGACGTTGTTGACACGTAATTAGTGTTACTGTTGCTATTGTCGCCTGCATTGCTATTGACAGGCTTATTGACATTTGTCCCCTTGTTACCGCTCGCCACCTCATTACTGTTATTGTGGGCGTTTGTAGTTGCGTTGGTCAATTTGCTGTCAGCAGCTTTGTCACATACACTCTCTGTGGAGGTGTTACTGTTTATTTTTAACTCACTGCTCTTACATATTGCAGTTGTCGTGCTATTTACTTTACTCTCGTGATGCCCTTTTTGGGGTGTTACCATCCCAGGTGCTTTAGAATTCATGTTACGCTTAGCCGCGGGCTGTAGCGTGAGATCGAGTATGTTGCCACAAGGCTCTGCTATCTGTTTTTCGGTGGCGGGCAGCTTCGCATCAATATTTTTACTGTTCATTTTGCTTAGACTACTTTGTGCACTATTGCTGCTATTACTATTTTTATTGTTATTGCTACTATTAACCGTTGCATGGCTGATTTTGGCGGCCGCTTGTGTGGCGTCCTTTTTTGTTGCTTTCAACTGGCAGCTGCTGGCGTTGCTTTTGCCCAAAACAGCGGCAATAAACTTTTGTTGGAAACTGTCTTTTTCACTTAGTATGTGTGCATTACAAATTCCGTTATTAATGCTACTGCTACTGCTACTGCTACTACCGCCACTGCTGCTGCTCGACGCACTGTTGTTGCTGCTATCATCTTCGGCGAATTTACGCCATTCTGTGAGGTTCTTGGGCGTTTTCGTTTTGTAGATGCTGTCGTTTTCGCTTTCGTTATTATTGTTATTATTGTTGTTGTTGCCGCATTTTATATTATTGAGATTTGCGCTATTCTTAAGCTGATCGAAGAGCGAAAGTTGTGGCCCAACGCTGCTGGCAGTGCTCGTCGTGTTATCAGTTTCAGCTGGCTTGGTGCTATTCGAGCTTTTGTGTGTTGCTGAGGTATTGAGTGTGGCAGTTTTGTTGTTATTGCTATTGTTTCTATTTCCTGAATCATCAATTTCAACGTTTTTAACACCTTCGCACGCGCTACTATTGTTGTTGTTCTTGGTATTGTTGGCAGTGGTATTGGCGTTAGTCTTTGTTGTTTTTGTTTTAGTTGTTGTCTTTGAGTTGGCGTACATTTTTTTTGACTTCACTTACTTCCAATTAAACATTACACACGTGGAAACTTTTTTTCTGAGTTTTGAGAATTTTTTCTTCACATTTTAACACTTTTTTGAATGGTTTAACGATGTTTTGTTGTTAAAATACTGTTATTGTATTTTACCGTCCGCAACGTAGGTAGTTTTCTATACTAAAAGGTTTGTTGCATGTAGCTGACACTTGCCACCTGTTGCACTTTGCACTGTTAAACTATTGCGGCAGTTCGTTTTCGTACAGAAAATCGATCACTTTTTTAGAACACATTTTATACATAATTATTTGAAACATATTTTCACCGCATTTCACTTGTTTTTGCGTTTTTATAAAAATAAATATTTTTAATTTTTTTTTTCAATTCGTTTCGTCACCATAACGCGCAACCGCACATATTTTTAAAGGATTTGCGCATAAATTTCTCTTAAAAAATTAATTTCTTTACAGGCATGCATTAATTAATTTTACTTTTTTAAATAATTTTTAAGTAATAATTTTTTGATGTATTTTTTATTTTAAATATAATATTTTAATTATATATATTTCATTAATTTTCAATTGAGATATTAAAAATTTTCTTATGTTTTTAAGCAAATATTTTTGAGACCATTCTTTTAAAATTTCAAACACAAAGTGCATCTGTTTATGTACTTCTTCCTTTTTCTTCTTTCTTTTTTCACAAGCTTTTAGGTAAAGTTTAAAATTTGTTTAGAAATAATATTTAACACTTTTTTCGTATATATTCTCAAATATTCAACACCACAAGCACTTCTTCTTTCTAACACTTTTCAATAATTTTTGCTTAAAAACACACAGCAGAAAAATAACTGCATATTCTTTCTTAACTTTCTTTAATATTTAGTAAAAATTATTTCTTTGTATACATTTGCGTTTCGTTTTAATATTTTCAAAAATCTACGCAGTCCAATGAAAAAAATTGCGAATTAACTTCTATTTTAAAAAATTATTTTTTATTATTCAAAACTATTTGCAAATCGTCTTAAAAACTTGACACTTTTTTTATATTTTTTTAACGCCTCACACTTGCGAATGAGATCTTTCTTTATTATGTACTTTTAATACTTTTGTTTTGTTTTCTTTTTTAAACAACATTTTTTTAATTCACTGCTCCATTTAAAGTTACATTTAATCGTGATTTTTTACACGCACAATACACTTATTGGCTTAAATTCCCTTGATTCGCTTAAATATTTAATTTATTTTATGATTTTTGTCATTTTTTCCATTAAATTTGTCAAATTTTTCACTAAATAAAATCACAAAATTTCCCCTCACTCATTTTCGGCATTATAGAAAATCGTTCATTTGCCGTCGGCTTTTGGCAACTCGCTGAATTGTGTTGTCAAAAAGTTTTTTCTCCGCTGCTGCTTCCTCCTCTTCTCGCTATTTGAGTTTCAATTTCCGCTGTTGGGAATTCGCACGGTGTTGCCAACGCGCTGCCACAAATGCCACTACTGCTCCACTGCCAACACTACTGCTAGTTTTACTACCACGGCTGCTGCTGCCGCTGTCACTTCGCGGTCGCAGTCATTGCGCCAACTGCAGTGGGCTACTCGTTTGTTTTTGCACTGACTTCACAGCCAACGAACAACTTTTAACTTCTGACTGACTGGTTCTGACTCTTTGTTTTCTTGTTTTGCTTTTTTGTTTTCTTTTGTTTTGTTCTTTTCGTTATTGTTTTGTTATTATTGTTGAGCGCTTTGTGAATTTAAGAAATTCACCGCTTGCCTACCGTGTCTGGCCGATCGAGTTGTGGCGAATGCGATTGCGACTGTGGCCGTTGGCTGCCTAATAACCTGCTATCCTTTATTTTGGTTGTTATTTTTTATTTTTGCTTTGTTTATTTATTTATTTATTTTTTGCACGTAAGGGTTCAATACAACTGCAACAAGTAACCGGTTTCACGCGTTTTTTGCATGCACTTCACCAAACTCACACACACATGCATGCATACACATGCCCACACTCGCCTGTGTGCCATAAGTTGTAGCGCTCTTCAGCGCGTTTTTTTGTTTTTGTTTTGGTTGCGCTTCGTAAATGGCCGTCAATGCACTTAGAATGAATTTAGCCGCGACTAGCTGCTGGCTATTTCGCTTGGCTTCTTCCGTTTCCCCTTATTTTGTTTTCCTTCACTGTTTACTAATTTCGCACAACAACTTCTTTTTTCCGTTCTCCGACCTCCGACGGACGTGCGATTGCAATTGGGTTTGCGACGACTCGACTGTGCTTGTTGTGCTTTGTCAGCGCGTGGAGCGTGTGAAAAATTCTAACGGTTTGCAAAACGTCAGCGAACGCATAAAATTTATGGTAATAGATTTTTCTGAGTTGCAGCGCTGTTGTTATTGTTATTGCTGTTGTTGTTGTTACTTTTTTATTATGTTCCTTTGTAGCCACTGGTTTCATTGGCCGCAGTTAATCTTATTTAATTTATACATGACATATGGACACATGTACATATGTAGATATGTATATGTATTTATGTATGGATATATGTTTTTTATATTGCTTAAGTGTTTGTTGTTGCTAGCTTATTGGCCCGAATGCGTGTTATTTGATTATAAACATCTACATACATATAAAATTGATTTGATTTGCATTTTAATGACTATTTATGATTTTGTTGCTGTTGTTGTTGGTGGTGATGGTGATTTAAATTTTCATTTCCATCAACAACACGCCTGCTTATTTAAGCGTTTGAACACATTAATTATTTTTAATAATAATTTTTTTTTTGTTATATTTCTTATCTGCAAGAAGAAGAAGAAAATACTGGTTAGGTTAGGAATTTTAAATTAAAAATAAATCAATTATGAAATGACTCCTTTGAAATAGATATAATATATTTTTCGTATTCTTTATGCAATTTCGTCTTCCTTTTCCATTTCAAACTCTCCTTCTACTTTTTCTACTTAATTTCTACTTCCACTTCCTCATCTTATTCTACTTCTACTTTCGTTTCCGCTTCTACTCCTGCCTTCACCTCTTTTTCTACTTCCACTTCTAATTTTACTCCCATCTTTACTTCCTTTTCCTCTTCTACTCCCCATTCTACGTCTTCCTTATCCTTCAACTTTGTTTTTTTACTAATTTCCTATATTGCTAAAAAAATTTCCGTTAGTTTGTTCCTGTTTTTCCTCCTTCTTACCCTTAATTTCTTTTGTTCTTTCTCTTCTATTATTTTTTAACAAAAACTGTTTTATTTTTTATTCAGAAGACTTTATTTCTTGCTTTTGTTTCTGGCCGCAAGGACGGAGAGTAAAACCGTAGGGCAGACGAACTTTCTAGGTAAGGCTCTGCGAAGCAAATTTTTCCTAATAAAAACGCTTTCAAGTGCCTTTTTTGCTGACTTGCAGTAAATCTTGGAAGAAATCAAGCGAAATGCCTTCTCACATCTCTTCCCATGGACAGCCAATCCTGCTTCTTCTCTTCTCTCTTTTCGCATTCTATTCCTTTGTTCGTATGAACAGTTCTAAGGGTTCAAAAGAGGGCACACATCGGATACACCAGCTAGAGTTCGCTGTCCGCTTTGAATTATGGTAATATTGTTGGGCCTGGGGGTTGTACAGCCAAGTTTTGTATGGAGTCGTTGATCGTGGCATTTCAGACCTCTACAGTATTCGGTAACGTTTTTATCACCAAAACAATAATGACCTCACAGCGACGGTACGTTACGATAAACTCAGCATAACGGAAGCATACACCGTGGAGCATCGGAAACTACTGATTGGTCCAATTATGAAATGGACTCGCATTCGATGTCTCCCACTCTGAGGTGTAATGTGGTCTTCTTTGTGTTAATATTTCCTGTCTCCACAACCAAGTCCGTCAATTCCAATCTTCAGATGTCTAATCTCGAAGCTCTTTAAATTAGACTTTTGCAACAACATCTCAACAACTACAGTGACTTTACTTGAAGCGTTATAGCGTCCGTTTACATTTCTGCGCACGTACGCACGCATACGACTTCTAATACTTAACGAACGCTAGCTAGTCTACATATCAGTAATCAACGAATTGCTGTTTGAATGGCCAAAGCCAAACGACGAGACGACGACTTCAACGGCGGCGACATGAATGTCAGCAAACAGCCAATCGGCGGCAACTCAACACACTTGGCGCAGTGTGTTGTGTGCGCGTCAGGCGCGGACGGTTAGACCAATAGACTTTATGTTGAGCAGTCTGTTGGAGCAGTTAGACGGTCTATTGGCGTGACGCTGGGACAGTGAGTGGGTCGTTAAGTCAATTGGTGTGACTACCGCTATGCGAGTCGCTCGCGCACTGTCATACGCACTGCCGTCGCTTGCCGCTCTTTTGCTTTTCTTTCTTTTTTTTGCCTGTAAATGTTTTATTTATTTTCCATAACTGTTGTTGTTGTAATTGTTGTTATTTTTCACGTCAAGTATGTGCTTGCTTAACACTTGTTTTACAACAAATATGCGCTTACATGTGGAAAAAAAATAAAAAAAATAAATAAATAAAAATTCGTTTGAGTGACAGCCAATTGGTGCCCAGCTGTTGTAAGCGAAACGGTAGCCACGGATGTATATATGTATGTATGTATGGAGAATGTGTGTGTTTGGCATTTGTTGTACAATACTGGAAACCACAATGCTGTTGTTGCTGTTATTGGTTTTTATTATTGGAATAATAAAAGCAGGCAGTCGATAATTGTGGGAATTTTATTGCTGCACTTGAACGCTGAACTGATGAATGTTTTCGAATTTATTTTTTCACCTCCATTGCGTTTGCTTGATATAAAACAAACACCGTTATGCATTAACATTCAGTCACATTTATAGCATGCAAGAGACGCGCGCTTTTCAAACATCGCGCTGCGCCACTCCGCATTTGCGTCTCCATAGCATTTTTTCTTCGCACGCACCTGCAGCGCTTACTTGCCACCTTAAATTTGTACACATAGTGGCGCTCATAATCACAGACACATACATATATACACTTTCACGACGTCGCCGCGGTTTAATCAATGCATTTCCTTCAAGCATTCTCGCCTCCCTACTCGAAGCTCTCTCTTGATTTTCAAATAATTCATTTTTCGCCACACACACACTCTCTCTCCCCCATACGCCTTTCCGCCAACTTACTGACTAAGCGCGCACATACTTACGCACCTATTCCGCACATTCACCGCGTCGGTCTGCAACGCAAGGCAGTGCACTGTTCTTTGCACTCGTCCTCGACATTTCAACTAACTTCCGTTGCGTCGTTACACTGCTGCCGTTTTGCCGTTTTGGGGCCATTAAATAGGTGCAAGCACTTAAATTGTAATAAATATTTAATGTGAGTTTGCTGAAACGGCGCGTTGTTTTACGCGCGCCTCTCCAAAGTCTATAGAAGCGCGTATAAGTGGCAGCGTTTCTGTGCGTTTCTTTTGAGACCGCGTGCTGCTTGGCGTGTAGAACGAACAACCGTTTGCTGTAATTCAACCAAAGCGAACGCTTATTGAAGACTGATTGTGTATGTTGTATTTTGTTGAGGTTTCGCTGCGATTCGTTCGCCACCAGTTGATGAGTTCTCTAATCAAATTATTATTTTTTTTTTTTTCATATATGTATGCTTTACTTCGCGTTGTGTTTGTTGTTGTTCGGCGTCACCGTTGTGTTCGTTCGCTTGGTTTACTTGCTCGTATGATTTATATTTTTTCGTCGTTCGGTTCGCTCGTTATTTCGCCAACTTATGCTTTCAATCGTTTGGCTTATGCGAGTGGCAGTCGCGAAAGGCGGTCGTGTGTTAGCAGCAGCTGCGGTTGGAGCGCGTCGCACGGAAGCGGCGACATTTTCAATGCTGCGGATTTAGTATTTGGCGCTCTCATGTTGTGGTACATATTCCATATATGCGGCTACACAAAGTTGCCACATGAGCTAGACGAGAGCAGGAAATTTAAGGAATTTTGTAAAATATTTTACTCAAAAGCACACAAAACATTTCTCGGGCATTGACGATCCCATAACTACATAAATTTGGAGCTTAATAATGGCTAAAGTAAATTTTAACTGAGTTTGTCCTCAGCGCACCTCAATATTTTTCTAAGAAGTTAAGAGGACTAAAGTTTTTTCTACAGATGAATTTTTCTTTTCAGAAATACACTCGTATGGGTTCAAATCATCTATCGAGAATTTAATATTTTTCCATAATTTAGAACTTTTCTCCAGTCGTGACATGAACTCATGATCTTAGGCATAGCATCGCGCATACTATTTATGGTTTGATTTAAAAAGGTTGTTTCCGATCACATTCAACTGAAGAAATACCTAAAATTTTCCATACTTGTTTGAGACATTCTTCCATCCATTCTCCACACATTAACCCAACACTTTCGCTTTCAACTTCCTTACACCAATCAACCAACCAACCATCTGGCAACGCCGCAGAACCATAATCGCAAATACAAACCAAAACAAAGAAGCGCAAAAAAAGCGCCAAACACCAAATAGCTCAACGCCGCATACAACAAGCTATTTAACCGCAAAAGTCAACAGCCAGCCAGTGGATGAACGCCAGCAGTAGTGCTCCACAAACGCGCGGCGTTTCAACGACTGCATATAGCGCTCTTTGGAAACGCGATAATTCGTTTTTTCTACACATTGAGTGCATTAAACCTACCAGCCAGAAGCACTCGCGACGAGCTCGCATACGAACACTTTTACTAACAACTATCGTGAAAGCATAGAATGAACGAACATACGAATGGGCTGGGCGAAGCGTTAACGATTGAAAACGATGAGCAAACCAACTACGAATGGCGAATGGCGATGGCGATTGCGACTGCAGCAGGAATAAACACACTCAAAACTTTAGCAATAATAAAAACAAAAAAGTACGTAAAGGCGCGCTGATAAATATGCAATCAAAGCGGTTTCTGATTTTTTTTTTTTTTGGTGTGGTGTTATTTTTCACTGGACTTTTTGTTGTTGCACATTGTTTATAATTTAAATTAACATTTCAACTGTTAACTGGAAAATGATCACTAAAACAGCACACAAATTATTGTAAAATTGAAAGCAAATTGAACAACAACTGGAAAAATATCCGTAATTACTCCATTGATATCTTGATTGTCCTTCATCTAACAAAAAAAAAAATGCTCGTTGATATATTCCACTTCTGATTTATGCGATAACTAAAATATCTAGTCTATCCATAAATTTTTCTGAAGTAGGAAAGTAGTAGAAAGGAGCTAGCTAGGTGATTTCCCTTCTAAGAACCCTGATGCAATTTGTTGAGCTCAATCCGGGGACAAACCACGTTCTCTTTCAATCGATTTACAGGCGAATCCTTAGACCAGTGCTGATGAATGGAATTTGATTATTACCTCAAAACCATTTACATAGTTCAAAGTATAATTTAGCGAATTCTTTTCTAAAATTCACAAGCACACACCATCATTCAGACACATGTACATTTGCGCACTCCTCTCACACATTTTCTTATCACAATCATGCATACACTTGCTTTCACCTATTTAATCGAATAGCTGATAGAACAAGTTAGACACCATTCAAGCGGCTGCTATCTATGGCTAAACGCTACGCTTGCTCAACCAGTGTGCGACTATAACTTGTCTACTGATAGATGCTTCGGAACATCTACAAACGCCACACGCACATCACAATCCGAATCGTCTCACTATTACCACATCGAATTAGCATTTATCATTTTTTCTTTTTATTTTGTTCATTTTTTCTTTTTATTTCTTTTGGCAGCTCATACATATTTCTTGTTTCCACAACACTCTTCTTCTTGTGGTTCATGGATTTTTATTACTTAATCGTTGTTTGTTTGCGCTCTCAACCACTCTCCGGTTAAAAGCGCATTTTCTCTACACATACTCTGGTTCTCTTTAGTGTTTGTAGATGTCTTGCCTTTCGTTACTCATTCGCTAATGTAATAAAGTCAACACGTGCTTTTATTACAACCGATTGCAAGTGACAAACACATAGACAATGCGGGTATACGCAACCAACACATGCAAACCTCAATTATTACGTATACGTCTCGTTGCTCACTCTGCCGCCCAATGCTCTTTGGAGAGTATTAGCCGCATTTGGTGCGTCGCGACGCGCTACGATTACTGATTTGGCGAGTGATGCAACTTATTCTTGTGTATTTGTTGTCTCTTCCATAGTTGGTGTTGTTTTTTTACAGCCCTCGCTAAGTTTCTTGCTTATTTTGTTGTGTTTTCTTTCTTTATTTTTTTTTTTGCTCTCCAACAGGGAAGTCAGAAATAGAAGGGCATTGCCATTTATATGCTATTTTTACACGCCAATACAGTTACAGTGGCGTGAAGTTCTCCTCTCCAAATATGTTGACGCTCTTTCTCAGCTCTCCTCAATTCGTAAATGTTTGTTTGTTGTAGTCAAACATTGTTTAGAGGTCTTACTTGCTGGAGGTTTTTTTAGTGATTTACTTGTCCTTTTTGTTTTATTTTATTTTACTGTTTTTTGTGTTTTGGCTTTACACATTTTGTATTTACTCTTTTTATTTTGGTCCAACTATGTGTTTTGATTTTTCTCCTTCTTCGCATGTGTTCCAATCATAGCATATGTATGTAAGTATTTCTTTTATTTATATATGTATTTGTGTTTTCTGTGCATGCATTTGCATTGGCAAAAAGCAGCTGTGCAAGTTTAAGTTATTTGTTTTTATTTCTACCTCTTCTCTTTCTTGTTTGGCTCTTTACCTTTTTTATATCTTGCATAGCTGTTTCTTGGTTCGCCTTTATCGCCTTGCGAGCTTGTTCAAGACAGTCTTTTCGTATGTGTTCTTTTATTTGTTACCTCGGCTGTTTTCAAAACTAAACTACCAGTTCTTATTAGCAAATCTTTTTCTGCGAACTTTGAAAAAATATAATAAACCGATGCACAAATTATAAAGATTAAAAAAACAGGACTTATGAACCTAAAAAAATATAAAACCTGCACAATATCCATCCACACTCATGTTATTAGATTGGAGCATAACATTCAGCACTTAGATAATGATTGATTTTTAGCGAAAAAAAAGAAACACGTTCATATATCCCACGTCTGATTTATACAATAATTTTTTTTAACGTTGTACTTTTCGCAGCTCTTTGCAACTTTGCGTGAAACTGAGTTTGGGAATGATAAAACGAGTAAGAAGTAAGTTCGGTTTTTTTATTGATTGATTGATTGACATTTGTCCGATTTAAGTCAAATATGTGCCGTTTTGTTCCTAAATCATACCATCTTCATTGTACCTCTCTCGTAGAAGGCTACGTCCCTGTTGGCAAAAATACTCGGAGAGCCAATTTTCACAGGCCTGTCTTGAGGCCAACTTCTCACCATTAAGCGCGTTTGCCATGGGCAGAAAAAGATGATAATCCCCTGGTGCCAGATCCGGACTACAAGGAGGATGCATTAAGACCTCCTATTGGAGCTCCTGGAGCTTTTGGCGCGTCCCCAAAGACGTGTTTGACCTGTCGTTGTCTTGATGGAAAACAATTCGGCCTCTGTTGATCAGAGATGGCCTCTTCTGTATGAGTGCTGCCTTGAAGCGGTCCATTTGTTGGCAGTAGAGGGCCGAAATGAGCGTTTGGCCACAGGGGAGCAGCTCGTCGTTGAGGATTCCTTACCAATCCCACCAAACACACAGCAAAACTTTCCTGCTCATCAATTCAGTCTTGGCCACCGTCTGGGCCGCTTCGCCGAGCTTTGACCACGACCGTTTGCGCTCGATGTTGTCGTAAGTGACCCATTTTTCATTGCCAGTCACAATTTGCTTCAGAAACGGATCGATTTTGTTGCGACTCAGCAGCGATTCGCAGATGCGTGCGGCACCCAAATACTGAGTTCCTATTTGAATCCAAGGCTATACAAACGGTTCCAAATGGTTTCATGGCTTATCTCTAGTTCCTCAGCAATTAAATAAGTGCTCGCGTGACGGTCTGTTTCCACTATTTCCATGATTTTCTCATCATCGAAATTACCGGAACGAACGTAGCAAACCACTTTTGTGCTACACGCTCGTTTACAGTATCGGGACCATGAGCTAAATAAATTTTTTCAGCCGCTTTGGCTGCTTTCGCCTTGATCGAAGAAAAATTTTAAAATTGAGCGAATTTTCTCTTTGCTGGTGTCCATCTTTGACGTGCGCTCATAACGTACTGAGTCAATCATTCGAAAAACTGTCAAAGACAAACTTTTAGAGCGAATAAACACGTTTTCATCGCCGTATAGTAAGACATGATGCGACACGTAACACTAGTACTATGGACAACAACGCCATCTCTTAGATAAAAACCGAACGCACTTTTATTGTTATTTTATTTTGTAAATTTTTATCTATCATGATATAGTAGCCAATTTGTTTAACCACCGTCTGACTGTCATTTTTGCACCAACTACAAGCCCAGTCGCTAAACGGGCTTACCTGTCAGGTTCTACAAATCGTAGAAAATGCAGATCTATGTAGAGATCGGAAATCTTATTCAACTTCTGATGTAATATTTCTATACAAAAATTGTTTGGTTGAATAATATAAGGATAATTAGCGAAGACGTTACACATAGGCTCATCGTTTTGCCTCTCTTTTCTTGCGTATTACCCCGCCTCGATAAATATGCTTGCATTAGGTCGTGTCCTGTGTTATTATTTAGTCGTGCACGAGCGACTTTTTGCTGGCTGAATTAACAAACAAACACACGTTCAAGGCTCACTTCGTAGAAAATACTTGTATGCTTGTATAGATGTGTATGAGTGGCTGTTTAGAAAAGTACATACATATATTTCGGTCATGTCGGAAGTGCATATACCTGTCAGTTATGGCATACACTTTCCTGTTTGTTTTCCTTGGCATTCTTGTACTGTTTTTATACTGCAAGAACTTCTATTGCACTTTTGCACATTATTTTGGATGTTACTATTTTATTTGGTCAAACTGTTCTCTCTATGTCTTCCTTTCTCTTACTCTTTGATTACCCAGAAAGCTCTGGGTGTTACTATCCATTCCAGCTGTTGGCGTGCACCTTATTTGTAATTTAATCCCCACGCGTGCTTCACTTTTCTCTTCACTACAAATACTAACTTTTCCCCAAATTGCTTAGGGTCAGCTTATTTTCTATTTATATTGCTTTTGTTGTATAAAGTATAGTAATTTTACTGTCAAATTTTTCACTGTCATTGCCTTACTTATGGTTATTTTCTAACTTGTCTACGGCGAGTCCCGATCTATTGCTTTTTACTCCCCTTTATTAGCCAATTGTTGTGCGCCGCTTTTCTTGTGCTATTTGCTAAGCCAGCAAGTGCAACAACATAAACAAGTGTGCCCAACTTCAATGCATGCCACAAGTCCACAACACAGCGAGTATGGTGTGTGTGAGAAAACGTCAAAATAAATAGAGACAACAAGAAGGATGCTTATTTTGATAGTAACACGCGAACTTTTATGTATACCAACAGAGGAGAAGAAAAAGTGTTTCAACGTCTCTACTTGGCGAATTATGTTTGGAAGCCCATATATTTGAGTATTTTTTCATAACATTCTGGCGGCTTACATGCCTAAATGGATTTACCACTGTTCTTATATAATATATGTATACAATAACGAAATCAATCACAGTCATTATGGCGCAACTTCGCCCTGCATTTTCTCTTGCAAGCGTTTCGTAATTCTAATTTTTAAATTTCAAGCACTTTTAAAAAAACGCACAATAGTTATCATCCTCCTTCTTAACGAATAATTATTACAAAATTCTTATACATTTTACCTTTCTCGTCGCCCACCGCCAACCGCACGCATAAACTTTTCTCGCTTTACTCGCACTTGCACTCGCTGTTTGTCAATGCACTTGTTTTTGCTGGCAACTTCATTTCAATTTCACTTCACACACACACGTACTTATCCACATCAATGTATTCAAAATAATTTTCCACACATTTTTAGTTAACTTTCATAATTCTTTTCTTAATAAAATATTTCACAAACTTTTCGCTATGCATTTAATCGTTCAGCGACGTTTTTTCATCCAAACAAACTCGCACAACATTCACAACAATCAGCTCGCTGCTTGTCAATTCAACACACTTCGACTCCTAACCAGACGAAACGAGACGACGCACTGACCCGGCCAATGCGCGCTTTTGCATTCCCGCTATTGCTAATGCTCGTGCCTCTGCTGCTGTCACCGTCATTGCTACAGCCACTGCACACTTTGCGCGGCCGACCGCAATAAGCTTTCGTGCAAAGTATCACTACTTCGCTGATGCCAAAAAATGGTTACATACAAGCATACGTATGTATGTATGTACATATATAGCGAGTGTATTCGATGCAATTGCCTACAAGTTTGGCTCTGCACTCCAGTACTCTTTCGCGTGTTTATGTATGCATGTTTTTATGTATGTATGTAATGGCATTTCGCACTCAGTATATGTACAATATATGTATGTGAGTACTTCCTTTCTATCTTTCTATCTTCTACCTTTAGTTGCTTCTGAGTTACTGCATTTTTTTGTTATCGCTTCACACAGATATTTGTTTGCTTGTTTTTGTTTCCATTCGTTTTGTAGCGCTTTTCGGTTTCGGTTTTGTTTTCATTTGAGTTTTGCTTTTGCGTACTCACTGTTATTTCTTTTGATGAGCGGCATGAGATTGTGTTCTCTTAAACTTATTAGTGTCTTTTTTTTTGTTATTTTCCTCTTCACTAATTTATTACCGTTTTGTGAGAGCGCGCCCACTGGCAGTTCTGCCGGAAGTTGGCAATACCGGCGTGTTGTTTTTACATCCGTGTGTTTATACAGCGCCATCTACGAATGAATTTCACAACGAAGTACAATACCACGATTAAATATGACACTCTACAACGAGTTATAAGGAGTTCGATAAGCTTCTGACATTAAGACAAGACTTACTCGTGCCTGGTAGATCTAAGAAGATGCTTCTTTATAAAAATATATGATTTCCGTATTTTATTTTATGAGTTCACTAAAAGAGTTGAGCAAATCGCAGAGACAGGAGTATCCTAACCATGAGCATCTAGAGCAGAGGAGGAAGGATTAAGTTATCCGTGTTTCTCTTCCAACATTAAAAATTTCCTTTCCCTTCTTCATTGGAGTAGGCACCGTTTTCGCGATTATAGCCGATTCAACAATAACGCGCCATTTTTTTTCTTCTCTTCGCTGGTCGGCGCCAGTTCTTTTCCTCTTTTCAAATGGAATGGCATCGAATACTTTCAGAGCTGAAGTATACTTTATTGCCAATGTGCAAAGGAAGTTTCTACAACACAACACAACCAAATGTCGGCTAAAGATTTAACGCTGGCTGCGGGTGAAGCGTCGGATAAAGTCATGATATCGCCAAGCACTATAATAATTGATAGTCATATGAAGACGGTGTTAGCCGGAATCTGACCCACCGCCTAGTCTTTTCAAAGAGAGAGTACTTTACCTTACGGACTCCACTCAGCAACATTGAGCGCTATTCACGGAGAGTCTGTAAACACCGCTAGTAACTCCCTTCCCCAAAAAGGCTTATGGTATGGTTCATTATCCAACCTACAAGAGATGAAGAGCTTGAGCTACCTTGCGAGACCCATGGAATACCGGCACAATTATGACCTGTAGCAGACTCTACCACTACATATTTTAATATGTTCTGCATGCAATTATTTCCTTCATTACACCTAAAACCTCTTTATATGACTCACACATGTAAGACCTCTGTCCCTTTGTTCCGAACCCATCGAAACAGCTCGTTGCCTGTGTCTCTCTAACGACTAACTTCACCTTCTCTTAAGCGGAGTTAAGCAATACCGAGAACAACTACAACAGCTACTAAAAGCTTCGGGCTTACATTTTCATCTAATAGGCTCTTATGCTTGTCGAAACCACCTTAAGACTTCAATAGCATTTCTATAACATTTTGGTGAAACGAATCCTCGGAGATATGAACAAACGCCTCTTGTATCGTTAAAATATTTTATTAATACCTATGACAAGTAAACTACAATGGAATAGACTTTTGTAAAATTTCAACCGAAACTAAAATACTGTCGAAAATATATCTGACGTAATATACAATTGTATGGCTACAAGCTAGCTTAAACAAACAGAACCTTAGACTCTGCTTAGAAGCTAATAAAGCACTTTAAACTCTTTCCGTATATTACACCCTCCTTAAGACAATTTAATAATAGTAATAATAAATATATTTTAGCATATATAACAGTGTAAATGCAAGGTTGTACTGGACACTATGTCCACACGGCGGTTGGAATGAGGCCTTCTTTACTGGCGCCCGGCGGAGTTAGAACCTCTTTGTTGAGGAAGTCCAAGGGTAGGTTGACTAGAAAACCCTGCAAAATATCGAATATTGTAAAATATGCCCACACATACTACTTTCTTAGACTCTTACCTGTATGTTTGTCACACGCTTCATTGCCATTTCCGGATCTGATTTGCATAGCGGCGGCTCTTCCTGATATTTCCTCAAATCCACATATGACTTCACCTTATCAGTTGGCAGACACTTGAACACCTCCTCATAAATCTCAGTATTGCGCGTCGATGTGCGACGCCACATGCCATTCCAGAACTGATCTATTACCGGATCGGTAACATCGATCGGCATGCGTTCCGCATCGGGGTCGAGCAGACCCAAATGTTCTTTAAAGAGGAATTTACGCAATCTGCCAGCAAACACGCCGCTTGGATACTTTTTGCCATTCATGCGTCCATCTTCGAACTCATCATCGGTAATAATCGCCGCAATTTCTGAATCGCGCTTGCCGATCATGGAGCGATCATTGATATTCGCCGAGCCACAAATCACTACACGATCGTCGGCGATCAGCAGTTTGGAGTGCACGTAGATGAGTTCGGTAATGGGCGTATTGTTGAGTTGTGAGTGCGTGCGCAGGCTATGGAAGGAGATATACTCGCCGGGATCTTTTATACCGATCTCTTGCAAGCGTGTGAGTATTGCAGTGCGGCCACTGTATGATGTGGAAAGGCGAAAGTGAGTAATTATGTTTTAAATGATAGTGTTGCTATAAAATTACCGTGATATCGACGCGTAGTTCCAATGCGTGATGGCGCGTACCGCAATACCAGTGCTGCCGCCCACATCACCCTCGAAGCCGGGCAATAGAGGTATGATTACAAACACGCGGAAAGTTTTGCGCTCCCTGTAATACATAAAGAGAAAGAGAATTATATAAGAAATATTTTTTTTTTCACCCGCCGCTACTCACTTATATGCTCTAACAATGCGCTTGAACAGCGTCTCGCCGATCTGATTCCGCACATTGCCATAAGCGCCGGTCGCACCCAGCTGCATGGTGATGAAGAACTGGTTTTCGATGTAGATGAAGTGCTGCGCCTTTGTTATGGTCTGTATGTAGGCGTCGTGTATGCTTTGCTCTACCAAATCCTGCTCGATGAAGCCGCAGCTCCAAGAGGACGCGCTACGCAGTAGCTGACATGACACGCGGTTCTGACGCTTTAGCGTAATATTCGGATTCAGCTTGATGTTTTGATAACTCTTTGGCATGAGGTAGGGAAAGTTCGGATTGTCGCGCATTTTCTCTAGCTTCACAGCATTCCAGCGCTGTATGAAATGACGCGCAACGTCACGCGCCGCCGCGCCCACCAAACACACGCCCACATCATGCCAAGGCATACGTGGTGTTGTTGAGCGATCGATTATGTCAACAAGTGGTGCATCCAAATTCATCCAATCTTTGAGTATGAAATTGGAGTAGTCCTTGCCAAACCAGTACTTAGCTTGGCCATAGTAATCGTTGAGAATTTGCGTTTGGAAGGGCGTGGGATCTTCCAGCCCACCCAAACGACCCTTTTCCACTTCGTCTATGGTGAAGACCAGCTGTTTAGGATCTTTCAGTACATCGGGTGATTTATCGCCCGCCGCTGCACGCTCCTGCTCAGTCATTGTTAGCCTACTCACTAGATCTTTACCGCGACGCATCGCAGTGGTGGTTATTTTCTCCAAGACATTCTTGCGCTCCATTTCGGGCGTGTTCAGTTTCATGCCCTCCAATGCGATCGGTTCGCCGCCGCTGGGCGAAAGCAATTCAGGTATAACGAGCTTCTCACCCGGTGAGAGCGTACGCAGTTCAACTTCTTCGAATTGTGCTTCAGCAAAGCTTGCGCTAAGCTGTTCCTTCTGCTGCAAATCGATGTTCAGATTGGTATTGTCCTTGCGTGAGGACTTACGTGAGCCAAACGCAGAGTCAGTGTCATCCTTGCTAAAGAATCCACCTAAACGGCGCGTGCTACCCGACGCCGAAGCGGTGGAGATGCTGCCGAGGTCTGTCAGCCGGTGGCGGTAGTCATCCCAGCGACCATAGCAGAGATCGAGACCGCCGATAAAAGCGTAAGTCTGATCCACCACAACAATCTTTTCGTGGTGAGCCCAAAAGAAGACACCAGCGCGCGCATGGTCTGGGTGACGCAGTACCTGTAAGCAAGATAACTTATATTAGAAACTGATTATGCCCACAAAAGCACGCGCCTACCTTGATATTTTCATGTGACAGCCTCTGTTTGCTGTAATAACTGTTAATACCCAAAGCCATTTCGACCTCCTTATAAAGCAGCACGAATATCTTAATGCCTTGCGACTGTGGAGAGGGAGAGAGTGAAGGAAGTTAAATTGAAAACAAAACTCATTAGATTTCTAATCAGCTCACCGCTCTACGATGTAGTATCTTATCCAACCGCCAGTAATCGCCATCCACTGCCGGACGTTTCATATAAATTTCCGGACTTAACCACCAATCGGCTATGAAGATTTCCTCTTTCGCCTCTTCGAGCGCATTCGCTATCGCGCCCATATAAGCAGAGCCGTCAACGTGCCAACTCGCTTGTATGCCCGAACGCACAGGCGCGTAAGACATATGCGGATTCGGATAGGTAAAGTCGCGTGCGTACGTATTAGCGGTCTTCTTGAGATATTGCATCCACTCTTTGCACTTTCGACGTGTCCAACACTTAAGTATAATATGACGATTGTTTGTAAGCACCTGCAGACCTTTACGCATTCCAGTCTGATAGATGCCGGTGGACACATCGAAACCCTGATCGAATAATATCACAGATCTGTGGAGACGGTGAGTGAGAGAGAGGGAGAGTAATGATGTGAAGACATTTAAAGCTTGCGAGAACTTTGACTAACCTAATAACTCCGTCGGTGGGACGTATGTAGCCGAAGCAGGTCTCCTTAACGAAGAACCAGCGATTGCGCCACTTGCCGTAGAGCACATCCGAGCAGAAGAAACTGCAGCGCACACAGCACTTCTGCTGAAAACAACCAAAGAAATTGCAACCCGCCTGACCAGGACGGGTAGAGCCTGTACGCTTCATTATAGCGCCCTCCTTGCCTTTGATGCCCAAGTCCGTGACGAAGGACACATTAGACACTTCGACGAAATTCAGCTGGTAAGCAGAGAGCATGTATTTCATTAGTTGGATCAAGTACTATTTATATATAACTTTTTTGACTCACCGTTTCGTGGTGGTTCCGATACAAGCTGATGTTCAGCAAGTTGTACAGATAGTCCTCCAACTGCTTTATGCGCATGGGCAGTGCCTCCACGGTGATGAGGGACTCGGGACGATTGGGAAATCGCGGCAATTTTCGTTTCTTCTTCTTCTTCCGACCCATAATGCCCAGCTGCGCCAAAGGACTGTTGCTCGTGCTCGCCACAGCCACCGCATTACACACAGCGGCATCACCATTGCACTGCACTTTGTATGTGGTCTCACAAATTGTTGTTTGAGTCTGCGTCTGATGCATTGATTTCAGCCGCGCCTCGTCGGCCATTTGTATGGCTGCCTTCTTGATAGTCGCACGCTTCTCCTTGTGACTACGCATCGGAAAGGGTATATTTAGCGAGGTACGAAAGAAGCTCAGCTGCTGGTGCAATGAATTGAAGTGTTTATAGCGTCGCTTAATAGTCCACACGTAGGGTCCATGCGTCAGTTCGATGGTATACCTGCGCGTGGGCATGAAGAAAAAGCTAAGTTTAGTTACAACAAACTAACATCTCAAACAAAATCTACTCACAAATTAGGGTTCAACAAATGCGTCGTTACACTGCGCTCATTTTCGATTATGCGCACCTGTATCTCCGCGCCGGGTATGAAGACTTTACGTTGAAACGAGTTAAATTTCACACTCGGCCCATATATCGAGGTGTATGGTATTTCCGCCAGCTGACCAGGCGCCGCGCCAGCGCCCTCCTCCTCGTCATCATCGTCATCGGTGTCTTTGCGTTGCACCAACACCGGTTTGTCGCCCACATTTGATAATATTGTCACGGAATCGGGAAACGCCAGCGTTTCGTCATATTCCGATTCGACGAGTGAGAATTGAAAATCCGGCACACAACGTGTACCTTTCTCCTCGCCTTCCTCCTGATCTAATTCTTCTGGCGGGCTGTCACCATCGATGCTATCGTTGGCATCTGCTACTATATACGCGGGTGATTGTTGTGCTTGCTGCTGGTGATTCATTTCGCTGGTCGTTAATATGGCGCCGCCACCATCGAATTGTGAGTAGAGATGTGGATAGTCTAGCTCATCATATACGAGCGCCGGATTCGCTAGACCCGTCTCACGATCGATAAATTCGTCTGTGAGGAGTAAAAGGAAGTAGAAAAAATTGAGATTAGGAATATTTCGAAAGCTTTTTGTATGGTTTACTTATTTTCTAAAAATAGACATGGCTCTGCTCTGTTTCACCATATCTTTTTCTCCGAGCATTTAAGAGTCCACAATTTTTACTATCACTGCAGTTCTCTAGTCTAAATTTGACCAAAATTTATAGGAGGAGCCAGAAATCGGTGAAAGAGCCGTAAGTCATAGTCTAAATAAAGCGGGTCTGGCTTAGTGAATTCTTTACTGAATAGGATAGGTCTATCTAAGGAGAATTATGAATAAAAGTCCCATCAAATCATCGAAACAGAGAGTTTACCGTTTCTTTAACAGATACCGTGGCTTCCTCCTCATCGAAGAACAGCTTTAAATTATGACTGCCTTGTGTTTACCCTTTTATTTCTTCTATGCTATAAGAAGTGTTGACCGAGCGCACATCTCGGCGTACCTACTGTCACACCCTCTAAAATGGTCTAATCAAATTTTGTCATTCACTAACTGACCGACTTACTAAGGACCCATAAAATTCTTTTTAATTTGTACAATTGACCCTGAAAAACATTTTCACAGTGCAACCAACTTTTATGAGGCGACGCATCGTTTCCCATGAGCGAAAAAGAACAATAAAAAAATCTCAGCACATCTTCTCTGCTCATCTTATGACTGGTGAATTCTAAAAACTAAATTAAAACGCAGCTAGTCGGATGCTAGAACGCAACTAGTTAATACTGAACGCATGAGAACACGTACATACATACAGACACTAAGAGGCAATAAGTGGCTGAATTTACAGCTTTGCGCTTTGGGACCAAAAAGAACGTCTCAACTCTGAGCTCAACTAAAAGCCGAAACTTCCTGCGGATCTCCAGCATAATAAGCGGAAAAACTGTTTCTGGAGAGAAAGCCCAAGTAAATATGGTATCTGCGATGACATGAAATTCAAAGACCACAAGGAGCCTTACGTCGTCTATTAAGAAAGCTTTCTCATGGAAGAGTATAACTTTGGAGATCCTCACAAATGAGGATCGCACAGAGAGGCCCATTTCTACCTCTTTCATACTTCGCTGGCTGACTGGGTTGCCCAACAACGCTAAATATGTATACTCTCCTCCTTATGCCTCCAACTATTGTGGCGGCTGCTGGCAAAAAAAAATCAACTTCAAAATAAATTAAATCGGTTGCGCTGATCTAATCACGAGTGTACCGTTGAGTCTCGAGTTAAATTCTGAAAGAAGCTTGCATTGCACTATCATATAACTGTTGCTTTTTTTTTTCTTCATTAAGTTTACTATTTTGTTTAATTTTTTTTTTAAATCTTCCACACTTTTGATTATTTCGTATTTGATTTGTTCTTTTCTCTTTTGAGCATAAAACGTTTGCGCTGAATATAAATAAGAGTTTCACTTGGATTTCTCTACGCAGTGTGAGTGTCGCAGCGAAAGTGATTTGAGGTGCGCAAAAGTTCAAAATTTTCGTGAATTTTTCTTAGTTAAAAAAACTTTTCAGTATATATATATTCAAGTATGAAACTCGCTTTAGCTTTCCTATTGCTCGCCGGTTTGTTGGCCATTGGCGTCAATGCCGGTAAGTATGCAATGAAAAGCAGTCCTGTGCAAGTTGCGATCGATTATTGAATTTGTTTTATACCAATTCTTCCATGTAAAATTTTCGAAAAGCTAAAAACACTAATTCCTTTACAAATTGTAGGCAACGAACCAGTTTGTTCATATCGCAATAACCAGGGTGAAACGATATTCCTGAAATATTTGCCTCTACTCAAGCAGGGACAGGATTATGTGGATTTCGGCGCGGATGGCAAGTGCGTGAAGCGTGCAGTTTGTACGGAGAATTTCAAAACCGAAGTCGAAGAGTGAGTTGAACATATTTTTTTTTTTATACACGTATGTTAGTTGGTAATAAATATGTGCATATGAGTGCTTGAGAAAAGAAAGTCAAGATTGGATTTAAAGCAATTTTTTTTAAATTATGAAACAAAATTTAAAAATGCATAAATATATATATATGTATATAATTGGCGATTTGTAACCGCTGAAGCAATTTTTCGGCCAGCCAATTTGTGGTTTTTGCATTTTTCATGTTTTTCCAACAAAATGGAGGGATCTCGAGTTTATACGAAGCAGCCTCCGAAAGGCTGATGGTCTTTTTACGATTCCGAATGTATGCGGCTACCGCGGCCGCCGGGTATGGATAAAACCAAATTCAAATTAAACATATAAATGAAAAAAAAATTAAAAAATTTTCTTTTATTTAATTTTTTTTTATTCTGTTCTAATATTTTTCTCTTAATTATGTTATTTAATTAAATTTTTTATTTCAATTGGTTTTATTTATTGACAGTAACTTTTTTATAATATTTTTTTATTTCGTTTTATTTATTTAATTTCCTTTTTCCGTTTCTTTATTTTGTTTTGTTTTATTTTATTTTATTTTGCTTCTCATATCAATTTATTTTCATCTCACTTAATTTTTTTGAATTTATTTATTTTTACATTTTATTGCATTTTTACACGTTTGTTAATTATTATTAATTTTTTAATTAGTTTTATTCCATTTTGTTTTATTTAATTTTTTTCTTTTAATTTCATATTATATATTTTTTTTATTTAAGAACTTTCATTTAAATTTTCATTTTTGTATTTTTCATTTTGTTTCATAATATTTTATCTTATATTCTTTTCGTTTGCTTATTTATATTTTTTTCAACATTTCTTCCGCTTTTCTTTGCAGTTGCGCCAAATATCGTGTGACTTGTGGCAATAAGAAAACCTTTAATGGTGTCTTCCCTGGCTGTTGTGTGAAGTGTTAATTAAAAAAAAAAAAAACCATAAAATAAAGTATAAAAAATATTGACATTATATTAATATATAAAAATGGAATTTTAATTAATTTAATTTAAAAAAATTATACACACATCAACAAAAAAATATTTTGCTCATTTGCACACTGGATTGCTACAAAGGGAAATTTGTCCTATTAAAACTACGAATATACAAATATACATATGTTTAATATTTTATTTATGCATTATACCAAACAATGTTATGCAACTATATAAACAAAAAATAAAACTCATTAAATTAAAAAAAAAAAAAAATCAATGGCATTTTAATTGAATTTTAATTTATTTATATTAAGCAATTTTTTTTAATAATTTTCTCTTTTGAGATAATAAAACTATTTTCATATTTATTTTATTTTAATATTTTTTCTTTTTATTTATTTGCTTATATTTTTAATTCTTTGTTAATCTTGACCTCTTTAAAACATTTTAATTATTATATTTTTTCCTTATGTTACTTTTTAAGTGTCAAATATGACAAGAGTTCAACGCCTTGCCCTATTCTCATGAATAAATTTGTAGATTTATTACACAAAACAAAGCTAATAAAAAAAAATTTACCACCAAAACACACATAAAATAAAACCGTAATTTCAACAAAATTAAATGTACACATATGGACATATACAATTGCTGATGTTACTACAGAAATAGTGTTTAAAATTTTTTTACCTCTAAATAAATCTGACATATGCATGAACGGTTTGTACAAATGTACACATATTTATATAGGCAAGCAACCGTCTACAGTTTAAGGTTAAGGTGAAAGATTAGGGTCAAAAGAATAGGCCAACAAATAGGCTTGTCGTATTCATAGACATAAATTTTCATTTGCATACTGGTATCAGGTTAGGTGTAAAAGTATGAATATATGTATTTAGGTGAAAGCATACACAACGTAAGCTTGATTGAGCTATAGTTCTAGTGCAGACCTTTCTAGCCAAAATTTAATTTTTCTCTTTAGAAAAGAGCAAAAATAATATTTTCGTGAAGAACATATGTAATTCTTTTAATTTGGAAAGCCGATAGAAAATGCTTAGCTTTAGAAGTACAATAAATACAATTTAAATATTCATTAATCTACATTAAATATATATACATATATATGTACATTCGAAGCAGACGACTAAATGTGAGACCATCCGCACACAACTGTCATCTGACTTACAAAAACAAAATCGACTTTAAAGGCAAGCATGAGAACATTTTCTTGAAGTAGCTCTTATTTTTTTTTTTTGCAGATATTCTTACAATCATAAGTCACATGTAAATAGAAGTAATAAAAACGATAATTATCATCGCTTCATCAAGCATTTCCACTCCTCATAAAACATGCTCTGAATGACGTAAGTGACAAAAAGTTCAATAAATCGTTCGTAAGTATGTACAGAGCCTGTTATTTCAAAGGGTAATAATGTATTAAAAAAATTCAAAAAATTAAAATAAAAATTAAATTATGAGGGAAAAATTAAAAAAATTTAAAAAATGCAAAATTAAGTAAATCAAAATAAAACTAAAAACGAATATAAAATATTATAAAAAGAATTAAATAAAAATTAAACGACAAAAAAAAAAAATATTAAAACAAAATAATTTTATTACCACAAAATAAATAAAATAAAATAATTTTATTGAAATAAAATAAATAAAATGAAGGAAGCAAATATAATTTTCAATTAAAGCCAAATAAAGAATGAAAATATTATTAATAACAATTAAATATTTAGAAGGAAAGTAAAAGAATAACCTAAATTAAACAGAATACAAAATTAAAAATAGTGAAAATAAATAATAAAAGGGTAAGGAATAATCATTTAAAATATTAACATAAAAAATAAATCAGAAAACTAGAATAATATATTTGAAACAAAAATAAAATAGCTTACATTAATATAAAATATACAAAAAAAATTAATTAAAATATAGGAAAGCTAAATAGCTAAAAAAAACTCTGTTTCATCATTTGTGATTATAAAAACATTATAAAACGAAATAATATAAAACAAAATAATTAAAACTTAAATAAAAAAAAGTTAGACGAAACTAATATTTTTTGTTTAGCTAAAATAAAAGAAAAATTAAAACAAAGCATTAAAAAATTAAATGTAATAAAATAAATAAATATAAATCAATGAATAAAATAAAATAAGGTAAGAAATGAAAATTGAAAAACTAACTAAAGTGAAAACGTATACAATTTTTTATATATAGCGTTGAAAAAAGTGAAAGAAATTAAACAAAACAATAAAAATATTTGTTATTTTTTTTTTTACTTTTTATTCAAACAAAATTAATAATTGATTGAAAATAATTTTTTGTTTTTTATTTTTATGTCATTAATCATTTACTTCCTGTAAAAATAAAAAATGCACTCATATATCAAGTTTAATTCCCTAAAAACTTCGTAAAAGCCAGACAATTTAAAAAATAAAAATAACTTGATGTCATTGTAATGCAAAAAAAAAATGAATAAGCACCTGTCTTTTTATCGGATTTTTTAAATTTATTTGAGCTTCCCGCCCGTCATCTCTTCCGCTATTTATCTATATGAATTGACGTTAGTTGGTTCGCCCCCTTTACTGATATAACTATTATCGTTTAATATAGAAAAAAGGGTTTAGCAAAACCTGATGATATTTCAATGGAAAAAATCAACTGAATTGACACCTGCCTTGCCAACGAGTTTTCAGCGCTTATTTTGATATGAATATTATCACTTTAGATAGCAAAAACAGCTAGAAAATTACACTTTTTTGATATTGTTTTTTTTTTTTTTTTTTTTTTTTTGTTAATAAATAACATGTCATTGTTATCAACATTTTTTTGTTCCAGAATCTCTGTTCTCAGTAGCTATAAATTATTACAAGAGATTTAACAAGTTTACGACCACAAACATATGTTTTGGCATTGTGAGCGGCCTTAAACTACATTGATAATGTAGCTGATATCGGTTTGGAGAATTTCGGGTCATGTAAAGACATTTTATACAAGCAAAGACTGTAAACCACTCACTAACGGTGCTAAAAAATAATATAGAAGTTTGACTAATGCTGCTAGTAATTGTACCTAATTATTGCTTTTTTAATTTTTTATTCTTATCACACCACAAAAATTACATTTATTTTCTGTTAACACCGACATTTTATAAACATTTTATGATATTCTTTATCGTTTTGAAAATTTAAAGCTATTTTTAAGACGCAAATAACATCACTAAAATGGTCATAAAATTAAAAAAAAAAGTAAACCAAAACATATTTTATAACTTTATCAGTTGCTCATATCGCAAGTGGCTTTTAGGCGGAAATTCTTGTGGTTTTCAGCGAATGGAAGAAAAAAATATAAATTGGCGAAAATTGCTTAAAAACTCTACTCAAAATCTTTTAAAGGAAAAGCTTTGTAAGAGCTCTTTAATTGCCCTCTTTCACTCTCTCAATTCTTCCATGTTTGATACTCTTTTCAAGTAAGGTGCTGTGGAAAAGAGTTCAATTTGAATCTCTGCTACGCGGATCACCAATATCAGGAAAAGTAGCTTTGGTTTGATGTTAACATATTAACATCCTAAGTTTTTGGGGTTTCTTTCCACAATTTAATATTCGCATATCTAGTATCGGGTTAAGATTTTTCTCTGGTGATGATTTTTTACAAATATATTTACATATTATTATGGAAGAATAAAAGAGAAAGTATAGCAGTGTATAAATCTACTTTATTTATGTAACTAAAAATGAATTTTACACATATTTAAATACTAGTTTTTATCAATTTTATTTTTTCATTAATTTTATTTAATTTTCAAGAGTCACTAAAAATCACTAAACAACTGTCTCATTAACTTTAGTTGAGTAGATAAGCCTGTCTGTTGATAAGAAAATCGCTAGATGATTTCATAACAAAGGCCAGTGGTGTATTCTATCATTTTTTCGAGCTTCGATAAAAACAAACAACAAAAAAATATATACATAAAAAAAAATTAATAATAACTCAATGCACTTGAAAAGTTTATTACAATAATCGTGGCAATCAATTTTGAGCCTTTGTGGCTTAAGAAGAAATCTAAGCTTATAAGTTCAAAAATGTGTGTAAAATAAAAAAAAAGGTTATAGAACAAAAATTTTAAAGCATTTGTGACAAGAAGTAAAAAAAATCAAAAACACTAAAAAAAATAAAAATATTAAAAAAAAATAAAAATATTAAAAAATGTATGCAATTGTTTCTGCAGGCTAAAAATTGGATTAATCGAATTTCAAAGACTTCTCTTGAGGTAAATTCTTCACCAGCTAAATTAGTGGCCATAAATAGGAACAGATGGTATTGACTTGGTGCGAGGTCCGGACTATAAGGTCGATGCATAATAACCTCCCAACCAAGCGCTCAGAGCATCTGGCGAGCCAATGTGTTTGGTCTGGCGATTTTATTACGATTCAGCAACAATTCGCGGAAGGAAATTCGGTGCAAGATTGACCGTTCCAGTAGTAAGGACTCAAACACTATTCACAGCTGCTTGACTTGCGTTTTCGCCATTATCGAACAAATGTAACTATAGCTTATTTGCTCTTTGCTGGTATTCAACTTTGACATGCGATAAAGCACTACTGAGATAAGTGATCAACACTGCGACCGTTAATTTTTTTTTTACAAAAATTTCATCTTCGAGATACAGATAACTAAAGCATCTGATGCTAAAATAATGGTTTACTTTTTCCAAAGCTAATATTTTTATTATTTTTCATACACAATTGCTCATAGCAAAAAGAGAAAAAAATTCATAGCAAATCGCCCACGTCATAACTACTACTCTTGGCGATGACTTCTCTCTTTCTGTATATTTTAGAGAGTAAGAAATATAAAGAGAGACAAGTAGCAAATACCGCAAACCTCAACTGAGCGCATTAATTGTTGATCGTAAAAATTAAAATAAATAAAAACAATACATTTAATGAGTTCTGATGTAACAACAGCGAGAATAGAAAGTCATTGCCT